CCTCCCAATCCCATGCCATCCACCTCAGCAAGAGCCCAGACCACACCTGCGCTCGCCCTCCCGTCTTCAGTGCCGGGGCCACCCCCGCCCTCCCCTGTCCCCACCCTCCTGCCCTCAGGGAGGCCCACCGCCCCACCCTGTGCCTCAGCTCCCCCGACACAGGCCTGTGCCCCCACTGCTCCCTCTGCCTCTCCTCCCCTAACTCGGGGCTCACAGCCCCCACCCCAGTTTCTTACTTGGTTCAACCAGAAAGCTGCAGTGGCTAGCAGAGCCCCTCCCACCTGCGCCCCATGCCCCAGGTGGCTGCCCCATGCCCCACTGTGCAGGGTCACTGAACGCTCAGCCCCCAAACCCACTCCTCACCCCTCCCCTTCCTTTCCTGCGAAGCCCAGGAGCCTCCACGGCGCCCCCCCGCCCTCCCACCTCTACCACACCCAGTTCCGATCCACCCAGGTCATCCAAATTGGGGTTCTGCTTTGCTCCCCACCCCCAGGTGGAAGGGCCCCCCAGGGGAACCAGTGAGCTCCTCTTGCACTCAGGTACGGGGCTCCTCAGATACCCCGGGGAGCACATTAGGGCAGGCCCCTCACCTGCCTTTGGTCTCTTCCCCAGAGCCCGAGGGCCTGAAGGGCGGTGACAGTACGCAGCTCCCGGAACCTGGCACACTGAGGGGTAGGTGTTCCCCTCGCGGCCCGCGGCACCCGCCTCCTGGGTCTCCTCCCACCTCTGTGCTCCCGCGCCGGCTCCCCTCCTGGTCCCCTCCCACTCTGGAGCCTCCCCAGCAGGGGCTGAGCAGACCAGGGGCTCATTCTCCCCCCAGGGGGTGTGCAGGAGGCGGCGGCTGAGGGCTCCACGGAAGAGGTGGGGGGAGGGAATGCCCGGCCTGCAGGGTCCAGCCCCGCAGGGTCTAGGGGGTGTTCTTTTGTGAGACGATGGATAGATCGTAGAAAAGAGACACAAGACATAGAGATAAGAGCATTCAGCTGTGCCGGGGACCAGGGCTACCAGAGTCGGAGTCCAGCAGTGGCCGAGTGCCAGGACGCACTGGCATTTATTGTATACAGGGCGGGGGGCAGGGCTGGAGAGTGACTCATCTCACATGATGGGCAGGGGTCGAGCAAATCACGTACTGACAATACGGGGGGCCACGTGGCCACAGTTCAGGGGGTCATGTGGGTACAGCACAGAGGGCCCCTCCCTCTCACACAGAGCTGCAGGGAGGGGAGGCACATACGTCAGCATCTTTCTATGCACTTATCAGACAGAGCGAAGGCTTTTAGGATTCCTCTATTCTTACTGCTCACGGCCTCTAAGAATTTACAGGGGAGCATCGGGTGGGTGGAACACGAAGGTGGACGAGGATGGCGGCCATCGGAGCACCGCACCACGGAGAGGTGTTTAAGCCCCTGGCCAGCGTCAGACCTTCCTCGAGGGTCGGCAGAGCAGAGTTTTCTCTGAACTCCCCAGTGGGAGGGAAACTCCCCCTCACGGCCTGTTAAGCAATGGTGCCTCCCCAGATGCTGGCCTTACCGCGAGGCCTGCCTGCTAAGTAATGGGCGCCTTCCCGGGTGCTGGCATTACCGAGAGTCCTGCCTGCTAAGTAACGGGTGCCTCCCTAGGTGCTGGTGTTACCGCAAGTCCTGCCTGCTAAGCAACGGGCACCTTCCCGGGCACTGGCCTTACCGAGAAGCATTTACTCTTACATCCCGATCACTTCTCACAATGTCCCTTCAGTTCCAAATTATATTTCACCTGATTCTGTCGATACTATAAGACTCAAATGTTCCTACACTAAAGCAAAGATTAATAGAGAATAATGAGGCCGGGCGCGGTGGCTCAAGCCTGTAATCCCAGCACTTTGGGAGGCCGAGGCGGGTGGATCACGAGGTCAAGAGATCAAGACCATCCTGATCAACATGGTGAAACCCTGTCTCTACTAAAAATACAAAAAATTAGCTGGGCATGGTGGTGCGTGCCTGTAATCCCAGCTACTCAGGAGGCTGAGGCAGGAGAATTGCCTGAACCCAGGAGGCGGAGGTTGCGGTGAGCCGAGATCGCGCCATTGCACTCCAGCCTGGGCAACAAGAGCGAAACTCTGTCTCAAAAAAAAAAAAAAAAAAAAATAGAGAATAATGATGCAGTAAGATTGATTATATAATTGTGTGATTGAATCTAGAATCTATTTGCTGTCATTGTAATAACTAAGTAATCAGTTGTTTATGACGTGGGACAGATTGCACCTCCGTCTCTTGCTGAGGCATCCAGGCAACTTTCTTCCCACAGCAGCCCACCTGTCCGTCTCTGAACTGTCCCCTTCAGGCTCAGAGGTACCGTCTGTCCCCAGCGCTGCGTCCAGGCCTGTGCCGGGGGTGGTCGCTGCTGTCTCCATCCTCACAGTTACTGTGGTCATGCTCACTTGCTACATGTGCCACCGTTTCCGGCAACGCCAGGAGGTAGGGTGCCCTGCATCCCAGGGTGAGCGGGGTGGGGAGTCTCGGGTGGGGCCAGCCCAGGCTGAGCTCACCCTCACTGTCCTCCACCCACGGGGCTCCAGGAGAGGGTAGGGAAGCACCTGAGAGCCAGTCCCCGCCAGGGGCCCAGCCGGCTATGGCCAAGAACACAGAGCCAGACTCCCACCAGACCCACTGTGCCCTCCCTACAACCGTCACTGTCCCCAGGACTCCCTGGAGGGCAGCCTGGCAGGACGTGCCGTCTCCATCAGGGACGGAACCTGGAGTTTCTGAGCCAAAGGGGCCTCTTGCTGAGGGTGCCACCTCCAGCAGGCTCAGAACCCAGGGCTGGGGGAGTGTGGAAGGGTGTGTGTTGTGAGGGTGCGTGGTGTGCCTGGGGGTGGGGGTGTGCACGCAAGCACACACCCGAGGGCGCAGCTGTGGACCCAGGGACGAGATGCCCACACACGCACCTCCTTCCGCCCTCCCCAGGCGAAGTTCTGAGCCCCCAGAGCGAGAACCCAGCAGGGTCTGAGTAGGACCCCTCCCAGCCCCCAAGCCCACCCCGAGGCCGCCAGCACCGGTGGTCAAACCCTCAGCACGTGGAACACTGGGGCTGATGTCCGCCAACCCTCGTCTTCAGATGCCACAGACCCCAACCACCTGCCTGGCACAGAGCGCGCAGGAGGGCCGGCCCCAAGCGCTGACCTTGGGTGGTGGGGCCTGGGTCTCTCGTCCCACCGGAGGGCAGGGACACTGGCTTGCTTGGGAGGGCCTGGGAGAGCAGGCGGCAGCCTGGGCCTCTGTGTCTCCCACTCCGGGGTGGGTGCAGACCCTTCCCCTCCACCCCCCAGGTCTTCCAAGCTCTGCTTCCTCAGTTTCCAAAATGAGACCACCTCACCACTGCCGTGCCCGACCTGCCAGGACCCATGCCCCTCCCTCCGCCCTCAGCAAACCCGCAGACCCAGGCTGCCTCCCGCTGCCCTAGGCTGAGTCTAGCCCTGAGTTCGGGTCTTCGCTCTCCACTCCCTGAGCTGCCCCCAAGCGAGGCGGCCGCTGCTGGAACCACGGGGATACTCCAGTTCAGGGCTCTGGGGGGCTTTGGCCACATACCTGTCCCTCGCCTATGAGAATGGCAGGTTTGGGGGCCCCTCCCTCGGGAGCCCCGGGGGCCAAGGTCGGGTGGGGTGTTAGAGGCTGGGATGGTGCCTGGCCCCCCACCAGGGGGCAGCGCAGGCCGGGCCGGGAGGAGGCGGTGGCGGCTCGGGCTCAGGCCCGGGCTGGTGAGTCCGGCGCTGCCCTCCGGGGCTGCACGTGCGTCCCTCCGTCCCTCGGCCGCCTGCGGCCGCCCCCTCCTGGCCACCCCACCTGCCGGACGTCCTTGGACCCAGGTCTGTGGGTGCTTTCTGCCACTGCGGCGGAGCCTTTGATGTCTTCTTGGTGAAGCAACTCCCGGAATCCCCCTTCACTTTTCTGAAAAGGTTCTGTGACTCGAGTCTTCGAAATAAAGAAAACAGAAGGACTCACAAACATCCAAGCAGCCGGGAAATGCAATTTTTAAAATGAAAAACAAAAATCTAAAAGAAACGTCTTTAGTGCTTTAAGCCCCCAAACGTCCCTAAGGCGTCCTAAAGATGAAGACTCAGGGAGCCCTCACTGCAGTGAAGTGGGCAGGGGCACAGCGGTGCCCGGCGGCCGTGGCCTCGCAGAGCCAGCCACCCCGAGGGTCAGGCTGGAGCAGAGTCCAAGAGGGGCGAGTTTGTGTCTCAGGTTAAAATAAGGTTCGATTCACCCCATGCTGGGTCCGGGGCTCCACTGGGTCAGATCCTGTCCTGTGGGCACAGCCCCCGGGACCCCCATGCAGTAGGGGCCTCGGGGGTGTCACACCAGCCTACACAGGCTGAAGAGCGTTGGCGTGCCTTCAGGTCAATCTAAGTTCTTTCTCTTTTCTTTTTTTTTTTTTTTGGAGACAGGGTCTGGGTCTGTTGCCCAGGCTGGAGAACAAGGGCGCGGTCAGGGCCCCATGCAGCCTCGCCCTCCTGGGCCCGAGCGATGCTCCCACCCTGGCCTCCCAAAGTGTTGGGATTACAGGCATGAGCTCCTGCGCCCAGCCTCAGGTCATTCTGAAACTGTAGTGTGGGTGGGGCACACGGTGGTCCCCGTGACCCCTGCACACCCAGGCAGGAGCCTCGGAGGAGATCCTGGGCTGAAGTCCCTGAGGAGTTTCATCTTTTCCTGGTGGCTCGTCTGCGTCCATTTTCCCTGCTGGTCCTCATGCCACCTTCCCCCTCGGTGTGTGGGGGTCTGTGTCTGCTTCTGCACCCCCAGCCCCGCCCAGCCCCGTGCCGTCCTCAGACGCTCCTGGCCTCAGGGATTCTGCCCTGCTGACCCCACTGCCTGGAATGCTGATCCCTGAGGCCTCAGCTGGTGTCACCCACAGCCTCTGCCTGAGTTGGCCTTTGGGGGTCACACCGGAGCCCCGTCCTGCTGGCTGTCCATCTGGCCTCCCGACGTCAGCTCCAGGCGGGAGGGCCCCGGTCTGCACTGCCCCCTGCTCCTGGCGGTGTCTGACATAAAGACACCCGGTGAGCGTCGCTGACCAAATGCACGCATGGAGCAGAGGCCAGAGGAAGGGCTGCTCTGGAAAGCGCATCAGCCCCACCTCTCTCCGCATCTGTGCTGGGGCGCCCCAGGGCCCTGGGCAAGATTCTGCCCCCAAGCCCTCTGTCTCTCGTTTATGGAGAGCCTCCCTCAGCCCAGCACACAACCTGCACACCTCACAGCCCCACACGTGTCTCAGCACTGCCTGCTGGGCCGGGGCCCCTGGGAAGCAGCTCAGGGCGGCCGGTCCGTGTGTGAGTCACACACACACACCTCTGCACACACACGACACAGACGTGTGAACCCGCTCCTGCACCTGTGCTGCAGATGCTGGCTCTGGGCACTGACAGGGACGCTTCATCCTTGTGGTGGGAGGCCCTCAGAACGGAGAAGTGCCCCCTTTCGGCAGACTCAGACCTCTTGGGGTCGGAGGCCGGGCAGGGGTCTTCCTCAGCTCCCTGAGCTGAGCGCTGCGGCCTGGCACGCTCCTTCCAGGAGGAGGAGAACCTCAGGCCTGGACCGTAGCTCAGCCCTCCCGCCCCTGGGACGGGGAACGCAAAGGCTCCAGGTGGGCTGGTCAGCTGCAGCGATGGGCACAGGCCTGGGCTCCTTTCACAGCCACACCTGGGGGGCTGGCTCTGGCCTGCCCTGCGCACTGTGTGGGTGAATGACAGGTGGCTCCAGATTTCTGGGCATAAATCAGGTCCCAGTAGAAAATGCCCCAGAGAAACAGGCAGGCTGGGCCTCACCGCCAGACCCTGCCACCTGCCCCCAGCCAGGGGTCCCTTCTCGGTCCTCTCGTCTGCCCAGCCCCTGGTCTTGACCTCCTCCCTGTGGAGATGCAAAGGGAGGGTGGGGGCAGGGACACCCTGTAGTCAGGACAGCTCTTGGGGAAGCAGCGCTGGGGAGGGCAGAGAGGCGCCCAGCACCGCCCTGGTCTGAGGCACCACCTCCAGGAAGCCCTCTCTGAGCTCTGAGGCCTGCGGTCTGCTGTGTGCTGCTCTCTGTGGTCCTGCTTACACAGAGGGTTAGCAGCTGCACTCACCGGGCTGGGAGGGCTGGGTGTGGGGAACATGGCCCGGCCCCCGAGGCTCCTGCTGCTGACCCTCCTCCTGGCACTGGCCCCAGGCCTGCCCAAGGCCCTGACCATCCAAGGTAAGAGCTTCCCGGACCCTCCATGGCCACGTCTCTGGAGCTCCCCCTGCCCCGTGAGCTCAGCACCCCCAGCCTGGACCACAGCACAGCCCCCGGGAAGCAGGTGGGGTGTTGAGCGGCCTCCACCATCTGGGGACTCATTTAAGAGAAGGAGAAAGGGGGACCCCAGGTGGAAAGTGGCCGGGGCTGTCCGGGCAGGGCCACTGCTTTGGGAGGAAGAAGCCCCAAGGCCTTGGAGCCTGAGGGCAGCCCCCGGCGCGGGTGCCCAGAGCTGCTCCGGGCCCCACAAGGCACTGTGTCTTCGGCGACATGTCAGCCCTGGGCTGTCCAGGCCCTACGGTCCCCGCCACGGCTCCCTGCAGGAAGGACGTTCTCCGTCCCTCTGGCCAGCCTGGTGGTGACAGCCCGGGTCCTCCCTAGAGATGCAGCAGTCTCCCTGCTTCACGATGGCCCCCGTGGCAGGCGCGGTCAACATCACCTGCTCCACCGGCGGGGCCCTGAGTGGGATCTACCTGAAGCGACTCTGGCCACAGCCCACAGACATCATTTACTACGAGGACGGGGTGATGCCCACGGTGAACACGCTGTTCCGGGACCGTGTCAACTTCTCGGGGTCCCAGGACAAGCTGACCATCACCTTGCAGCGCCTGCAGCCGGCAGACACCGGCACCTACATCTGTGAGGGCCTCACGGAGACTCATGTCTTCCGCCCCCCTCAAGGCACCTTGGTCCTGGTGACAGGTAGGGACTGCGCCCACCCCGGGCCCCTCCTGCCGCTGCTGGCCAGGCCAGCTCCCCAGCCCTTGTCGGGGTACCCTCCCTCCCACACGGGCCTGCACTGTTCCAGCTCCCAGCAGCTTCCTAGATAGCTGCCCCTCCTCCCCTCCACTGCCTCTCCCTGCCCTGAACCCCAAATCTCAGGGGCTCTAACAAGGTTCTCCGCCGGAGAATCCCTTCCTTCTTCCTTCTCGGAACTGTCCCAAGGCGCACACAGATGCCCGGAGGCCCCGCCGACAGCCTCTGCCCTTCCTGCGGCCCTGATGGTGGTCTCCTTCCTCCTTGGGCTGGGCCTGGGGGTGGCGTGTGTGCTGGCGAGGACCCAGGTCAGTGTAAGCCCCAGCTGCCACCTGCATCCCCACAAGTGTCCCTCTCCTGAGAGCAGAGTGGGGGGCGCCAAGGCCTCAGAGGAAAACCCCAGCACCCGATGCCTCCTCTGCAGGCTCCGGCAGCCCTCAGGGTGGAAGTGGCATGGGAGGGACGGAGGGAATCAGCAGTGAAGCTGGGGCCCGTGTGCACGTGTGCAGGTGTGCGTGTGTGCAGGTGTGCGTGTGTGCAGGTGTGCGTGTGTGCAGGTGTGCACGTGTGCGTGTGTGCAGGTGTGCACGTGTGCAGGTGTGCACGTGTGCGTGTGTGCAGGTGTGCGTGTGTGCAGGTGTGAGTGTGGGACGGGGGCGTCTCTGAGGCCTGCGTGTGCATGCTGGAGTGTGCTGGCGTGCTGTGTGGTCATGGGAAGGGGAGGGGGCCTCGGACAGGCACAGGGTCTGGTCTGTGACCACTGCCCTCTGTCCCTGCTGTTTGTCTGGGGCCGGAGCGGGGGCCTGCTGGGCCTGGGCTGGGGTGTCCAAGCCGCTTCCACCCTCCTTCTTCAGAGGCTCCGCCCGGGGGTCCGACTCATCCCTGTCTGGGGCAGCCTCTGCCAGGAAGCCCTGGGGCTCAGGAGAGCTGGGGGCCAGCCTGGAGGAGCCCCTCGGGGGTCCAGTGTTAAAATGAGAACCGACCAGAGTGGGGCGGGGTCCGGGACACCAGGCCAGCCACCGGTCGCGGACGACAGGTTCTGTTTTTCAGATGAAGAAAGTGTGCTCATCTCGGGACAAGGACTCGGCGGCGTGTGGGGTGTATGAGGACATGTCCCCCAGCCGCTGCCACACGCTGTCCGCCCCCCCAAATCTGTACCAGTGACCCCGTGCGCCTGCCACGCCCCGCCGGGGCCCCCCGCCGCCTCCCCTGCCCCACCGCGACCCGCACCCCGACGCAGCCCGCACCCCAACCGTGCCCCTCACCCCACTGCGCCGCGCACCCCGATGTGCCCCGCACCCCGACGCACCCCGCACCCCGACGCGCCCCCTGCCCCGTGGTCCATCCCCCTTGCTCCACCACCAACTTCTGCCCCAACAACCCCCCTGCCCTGCGGTCCTCCCACTGACCCCCACCCCAGTGTCTCTGCCCCTGTGCACCTTCGGCCCACTGCACCCCTCACCCCGATGTCCTCCCACTGCTGCAGCAGAGTTTGGAGGGCCCAGCCCCACCCAGCTCCAACACAGAGGCAGTGGCCAGGCCCGACGGTGCTTCTCAGTGGACAATGACAGACACCTCCTCCAGGAAGCCTTCCCTGCCCAGCCCACACCGCCACGGGGAGAAAGCCTGACTGTCCTTTGGCTGTGTCTCCAAACCATGGCCAAGGAGGACTTCTCTGTGGGACGGGCCTGGGCACAAAACCCTGTCCCTTCAGTGCCGGCCCAGTCACCAGCAGGCCCCCAAACCCCCAGCAGCCAGGCAGAGAAGACGAGGCCAGTCCCCCACCCAGCCTTACCAGAAATAAAGGCTTCTATGCTGCTGCTTCTGACTTCCGCATTTATTTCTCAGCCAGCAGGAGCCGGGGGTGGGGGCAGGGTTTGACACTGTAGACCCCCCACGCTGCCACCTTGGCGGTGGGGAGGAAGCACCTCCCACCCAGCCCCGAAAGGAGTCCTGGGGGCCTCCGACCTGAGAAGCAGCACGTCCACCTGGACAGACGGAGGCTGGGCCCGGGGGCCCTTCGGGAGTCTCGGGACGCCTCTTCCACCCCACCCCAGCGACGGCCTCCGGAACCGCGCCTCGGAGGCGACCCCAGGGCAGGCGGCGACCGGCTGAGCCGCCGGGCACTTCCCTCCTGCCCCTCCTCGTTCTCAGACGTCCTGGCAGGGAGAGGGGCCACAGCACGACTCTCAGGATCTTCCCAGGCCAGCACAGCTCCCATGCTGCCCCAGGGGATGCCAGCCATCCTTCCACCAGCGGGGGGAAACCGAGGCACTGCCTGGGGAGCTGCCCGGGCCCACACACTGCGCTTCACTGCCCCCGGGAACAGGCGGGGACAGCCAAGGTGGGGCCTTTGTGCAGGACCCTCACCCACAACCGCACCTGCCCCTGACCCACCCCACACCTGCCCCTCACCCACCCCCATCTGCCCCTCACCCACCCCCACATCTGCCCCTCACTCACCCCCACACCTGCCCCTCACCCACCCCCACACCTGCCCCTCACCCACCCCCACACCTGCCCCACCTCCACCCTCAACACCTGCCCCTCACCCACCCCACACCTGCCCCACCTCCACCCTCAACACCTGCCCCTCACCCACCCCCACACCTGCCCCACCCCCACCCTCAACACCTGCCCCTCACCCACCCCACACCTGCCCCACCTCCACCCTCAACACCTGCCCCTCACCCACCCCACACCTGCCCCACCTCCACCCTCAACACCTGCCCCTCACCCACCCCCACACCTGCCCCACCTCCACCCTCAACACCTGCCCCTCACCCACCCCCACACCTGCCCCTCATCCACCCCACATCCACCCCTCAAGTCCATCTGCCTGCCTCACCGATGCGTAAACCCGGGGTCCTTCTTGTGTAGGACCCGCCCCACGGCCTCGTCCGGCTGCCACTGTGCAGGCTCCAGGCCCGTGTCCTGGAGCACCTACGTCCAGGAGCACCCCCAGCCTCACGTGGGCAGCCCTGGCGGGCCTCCAGCCTCGAATGTGGTCTCGTGACACCTGGCTGAGGCCCGAGGCCTCTCCAGCCGCTGCAGGCCTGGCTGTGCCTGTACCAGCTCCCTGAGCTGCCCTATCCCACCACCACAAGGGAAATCAGAGTCCCCTCCCTCCCCAGGCTGCCCTCATCCCAGGCCTGCGGGGGCTGGGGGCCGCCAGCATCCCAGCCACACTCAGCTGGTGGTCCACCTTGGCCACCGCGTTCTCCTCGCCCCTGCACACAGAGGACCTCTGTCAATACGAGACAGTGAGGCTCCTGAGCCCCTGACCCCACATCTTCACCATCGAATCATCCATCCAAGTCACAGAGACAAAAGCACAGTGGGAGCTGTTGAACTTCTCTGCGAAACACAACAGGCAAAGATAAACCACAGACGTCCACAGACTAGGGGGAAATATTTGACCAGCAAATTACAGATCCAAGGTCAGCATGCTTCATTCGTAGAAAGCCCTATCAATCCACGGGAAGAAAGCACGAACTAAAAATACCCAAATACCAAAACGAGCAATAAACACAGGCCACCATTCCCATTGCTAGGTATCTATGCAGCACCAGCTGAAACGAGGTAACTTTTAATCAACTGGGTTTCCAAAGATGGAAATGTCATTACCTGGAAATCCACTTCTATAAATGCATCTTTGGGAAATTATCTTTGGGCACAGAAGAAAAGCTTCCAGGGGCTGAACGAGGCGGCTCACACTTGTAATCCCAGCCCTTAGGGAGGCTGAGGCAGGCGGATCACGAGGTCAGGGGTTCGAGACCAGCCTAACCAACATGGTGAAGTCCCGTCTCTACTAAAAATACAAAAATTAGCTGGGCATGGTGCCACGTGCCTGTGATCCCAGCTACTTGGGAAGCTGAGGCAGGAGAATCGCTTGAACACGGGAGGCAGAGATTGTGGTGAGCCCAGAGCATGCCATTGCACTCCAGCCTGGGAGACAAATCGAGACTCTGCCTCAAAAAAAAAAAAAAAAAAAAGCTTAGAGGCATAATAATATTCATTGCAATGTTACTTTTAATTAAAAATAAATTGACAACTGAAGCCGGGTACCGTGATTTGCACCTGTGGTCCCAGCTACTTAAGAGGCCAAGATGGGAGGATTGCTTGAACCCAGGAGTTCAGGGCTGCAGTGAGCTGTGATTGCGCCACTGCGTTCCAGCCTGGGTGCAGAGTGAGACCCCGTCTTTATCTTTTATGTATGTTTTTATCTTTATTTTAATTTTTAATTAGAGACAGGGTTTTGTCATGTTGCTCAGGCTAGTCTCAGACACCTGGGCTCAAGCAATCTTCCTGCCTCAGCCTCCCAAAGCGCTACTGGGATTACAGGTGTGAGCCATTGTACCCAGCTGAGACCCCATCTTAAAAATATAGATAACAACTGAGGAAGGGCCTAAGTCTCCAAGCAGGAGAATTTTGCTGTAGTGATTACAGCACATGCCGCAGGTGTTGAAAGGGCACCATGGGCCGGGGCTGGGAGGGGGAGGTTCGCGCCTGTCATCCCAGCACTTTGGGAGGCCGAGGTGGGTGGATCACTTGAGGTCAGGAGTTTGAGACCAGCCTGGCAACATGATGAAACCCCGTCTCCACTAAAAATACAAAAATTAGCCAGGCGTGGTGGCGTGCGCCTGTAATTCCAGCTGCTCGGGTGGCTGACGCAGGAGAATTGCTTGAACCCAGGAGGCAGAGGCTGTAGTGAGCCGAGATCACACGACTGCACTCCAGCCGGGGTGACAGGGTGAGACTGCATCTCAAAATAATAATAATAAATAAAAATAATAATAATAAAAGGGTACCATGGAACACTCTGTGACTTCACCCTAGGACCCTCACATGACACAATGAAGCCACACAGACGGTTGCAGAAGAGACGCATGATGGCACGTTTATTACAGTGTAGATGGTGTACGTGCTGCTTACGGGGATGAGTTCCGAGAAACACCTCGCTGGGCAGCGTCATCACTGTGTGACGTCATGGAGTGAGCCCCGTGACCCAGACGTAGGGCCCGGGCCACCCCCAGGCTGTGACCGTCATGGAGTGAGCCCCGTGACCCAGATGTAGAGCCCAGGTCACCCCCAGGCTTTGACCGTCATGGAGTGAGCCCCATGACCCAGACATAGGGCCCAGGTCACCCCCAGGCTGTGACCGTCATGGAGTGAGCCCCATGACCCAGACGCAGGGCCCAGGCCACCCCCAGGCTGTGACCGTCATGGAGTGAGCCCCGTGACCCAGACCTAGGGCCCTGGCCACCCCCAGGCTGTGACCGTCATGGAGTGAGCCCCGTGACCCAGACGTAGAGCCCAGGTCACCCCCAGGCTGTGACCGTCATGGAGTGAGCCCCGTGACCCAGACGTAGGGCCCGGGCCACCCCCAGGCTGTGACCGTCATGGAGCGAGCCCCGTGACCCAGACGCAGGGCCCGGGCCACCCCCAGGCTGTGACCGTCATGGAGTGAGCCCCATGACCCAGACGCAGGGCCCAGGC